TAACAATGCCACATGTTGCCTGCTGTGTGTGTGTGTTTCTGTGTGTGTGTGTGTGTGCGCGCGTGTCTTCGTTGTGCCCCTTTTCTCTGGGCATTGAAATTAATTTTATCGCCTGCATGCAACAGGTGCGTGTGCGTACAGGTGTGTGTGTGTGTGTATGCGTGGCCATGAAAACAAACGACAAACGCCCCTCCACAACAGCAACAGTTCAGGCATAAGAACATTGAACTAAGTTGTTCGCGGCACACGCAACTGCAGAGTCCTGTGCGGAGCACCTACAGAACATTATTAATTTGAGCGAGAGAATCCCTTGAGCTAAGGATGTTCAATATATATACACTTACCTACCTCATTGACATGGTAAGGCTAGCATATTAAGAAAATAACATGCACTCTCAGTTAATTGAAGTTGTTTTAAGCAAAGGCTCAACTCTAAAGTGCTGCTTCTGATTCCTGTTCGAGCGCCAATTATGAGGGAAAATCGAAGCATGTTATACATGCTTAACAATTCTTCTTTCATATATGCTAGTCATTTAACAGATAGTCTCTGCTCGGGCGCCATTTGCAAGTCTGTTAAATCTTAACAGCATGCTTGACGAAACTGAACTTTGAAAGGCTTTTAACCTGCGTATTTCCTCAATATGCTACTCAAGGGTTTCCCTTTAGCACTCGTTGCTTTTCTAAATCTATTAGTCCCTGCTCGGGCGCCAACTTAAAGTCTGTTAAATATTAACGGCTTTCGCTTATGTTAACCAAACTGTACTCTAAAAGCCTGTTAAACTGTGTATAACATGCATATGCTACTATATATCATTTAAGCAAAGTTAACAAAGTTAACCCTATAACAATCACTCTTCTTCTATCGCTACTACTATTAATAGATACTAAATCATTTAGTCAGGCTGACGCAATTAAGCAAAGAAATGGTTCCCGCTTGGGCGCCAACGTCATGAGTTAGCTTTTATGCAAAACCTGTCTGGCTCTTAAGAGCTTGACACCCAAGCCTTAGTCTAGCTTTTTATTTTCGCTTGACTTGTTATGTCTTGTTTCTCCATTTAGTAGAAGGACAGCAGATGACAGGTGTCACAGGCTCAGCTCATGCCTCACGGCAAACACGCTGTTTGTCTGCAGCACGTCATTTGGCATGAGAAGACCACACGATATCGTGCGACACTTATCGGCTTTTGTCAGGTTTATCTCAATGATAAAAAAACACCCCCCACGCACTTTGTTTGCGTGTGTGTGTGCGTGTGTCAGTGTGTATTGCTGATAGCTTTGAGTTGCTGGGAATCGGGCCCAGCTGTCAGCATATACATGAGTGTGCATCGTTGTGGATGTGTTGGCAGCTGCCGCTTCAATGGGCTGTTGCCCCCACCCCCTCCCCTCTTCCAGCCCCCTCTGGTAGGTGCGCTGATTAACCAATATGTGGCCAAATATTTGAGTTGGCATCAAATTTATGTTAATAGACCGCCACAATTTTTGTGTCTGTTGTCGACTTTTGTTTTAGATAAAAATTGTGCCAAAAAAAATAAAGTTTCATAACAAGCCGAAAACGCACCATGTGGCACCATAAAAGCTCCAGTTGTGTGCCAAAGGCAAGGCTGAAAACCTCCCAACACACACACACACGCACACACACACACACGCACACATGCAGCGTCTGTCGAGGCCAATCAAGGCTAGTCAGCGGACATTGTCGGGCAATTAGAGGCGGGCTCGGGCCCGCCCCCTTTATCTAGCTGACGACCCTGCTGTCGTTTCTGGGCCTGTGGCATGATTCGAATGCAAACAAGACCTCATCTGCAACAGCTTTATGCACGAGCGAGTGGCTTCAGCTGCTGACCCAGGTTCCGAGCTCCATGGTATCCCTTTTGCTGGCGATGCATCGCTGGTTTCTCGTTTATGTGGATTTTCGGTACGTGGCAAATCAAGCGTGAACTCACAACAATGACAACGCCTCGAGAATATAAACCTTTTTCGCCTGCTTGCGCTTATCGTGCAGGCCCCAAGTTTTGGGCCAAGTTTAAAGAGTTCCCTCTGTATTGTATTAAGCATACGCAGCGTGGGCCAGGCATGAACTTTTTCTGCATTATTTACCCACTTGGCCTTTGTGTATTGTGTGTGAGTGTGCGTGTGTGTTCGTGTGTGTTCCGAGCTGCTGCTTATGCTGAGCAGCTTTACAGTGGCTTCTTGGCCTCCTCCAGGTGCTGCCAGCTGGCAGAAAGTCAGCGCAAATAAACGCGCACTTTTAATTATTTACGTTTTAATCATTCAAAAAAAGTTAATTACTGCAAAACGTTGCAAGAAACAGAAAGCAAAAAAGCAGAAGAAACAAAAGCAGCCAAGCAGCCAGGTCCTTGACTTTGCATTGTGTCCCCAAGAAGTTCAGCAAAAGGTGGATGGAAATATCTCCAAGGAGTCTGTGTATTACAGGTAGAAGTTGCCATCTTCAGCCATGATGTATATATATTCCAAACAAGGCAAAATCGATAAATATCGATATGTTGCCTCAGTGCAGAGCGTGGAGGTATAGCTTCTTCTTTTTTGGTATATATATTCAATACAATGCCATATTAAAGACCTAAAAATGGTTTAATGATCAGAAAACCTAAGCAAATGTTACTTAAGAATGAATTTCTTATTCTGTAGAAAAGATGAAGCAGATGGAGATAACCTATAGCAGCTCCTCCCTCCCCCCCTCCCTTTAGTATTTGTGACAATCCCCGTAAAAAAAAAAACGGAATATAAAACAAAATGTGTGCAGCCCTCGCTCGGGAAATGAACAGCTTCTGAAGCTGTCAGCTCGTTAAACTGTCTGCCCGCGACAGCTTTGGTTGGCAGCGCCTTGCAGCAGCTGGTCATGCCCCAAATTGCACTCGGCAGAGGAACAAGCAGTGGATGGCCAGCGGCGCCTGGCGGTGTCCATGGGTCCTGGGGGCCCACAGACTTTGAAGCGTAATTCGATTATGCAGGCACCAGGTCCGGGCCGCAGGGCAGATGCAGGCGGGGCGGGACAGAGACGAGAGCGATGGCAAACAAGGATACAGTGCCGGCAGCTTATGATGCATATCTAAGTAGTGCAAGCCTAAACAGATTACAGATATATTTTGATTGCTGATGCTCAGGACTTGAGGGCATCAACATCAACATGCCCCGGCGCCATTGTGCCTGTGTATTAAATCCCTCCAGGGTATACTAATAAATTCAATTTGGTTGTATTTCAGTTTTAGGCCTGGGTAATTGGCTTAAAGCTGGCCAAGAAATGGATTTCATCTCAGCCACTTTGGACCTGCAAATGGCAATTAGTGCAAATTAAGCTGCAGGACTTAGAGAAGTGCTCGGAACTCCTCAGCACAAGATTAGTTTGCACCGCAAAGCTGCATCAAGTTGTTTGTAGCTGCTGCCTGGTTGCAACTGATGCATTCCAGATCAACGCGCCCTCGATAAAAAGGCAATTTCTTAGGTTCTCTTTCTTTTTTGTTTTATTTACATCATTAATTGTGAAATGTTTAGAGCAACGAGAAAGTTCCGTTCTCTCGAGGCACGGCGGTGATGCAAGAAAAACAACACTAGAGCAAAGGAAAGCAAAACATATCCAAAGAAAAATGTATTTTTAGCAGGAAAAATAAAGAAAACGTACATGATTAAACGACAGACACACTCAAAGCACTCGCAACCAACCACATGAAAGCACACACACACACTCACACACACACACACACACACACACACACACACACACATCAGATGGTGTGCTTGTGAATTGAGTTCTCAAGTGCTTGGACTACAGCGTGGAAGCTCGATTAGCAAATCAAATGTGTTGCTCTACCTAGTAAATGCCCAATATGAAATGAATATTTACTGGAAGAACAAGAATTTAAATGCTTAGAGTGAAGGCATTTATAATATAAAGCGAAAATAAAGGAATTCAATCTTTTAGGGAATTTAGAATGGAAGAATGGAATGAGCATGCAATTCAGCTTTCCCTCAATATAAATCAAGGCTGCAATCCAAGATTGTAGCTAACCTCTTTAAGCACAAATTTCGACTTTTTTTAATTTCAAGTCGAACCAGCAAGCTGTCGTTAGCCGGTTCAAATCGCATTAAAATCTATGCAATTTGTATATGGATTTATTATGACGTCAACTCAAACCAGCAACTATATTTCAGCGGTGCAGATACCATTAAAATCTATGCAATTTATGTCTCCATTTACTTTGATTTCAATAAATGTATGAATTTGTTTATTCAAGTTGAATTATTTCATTAGAATCAGATGCCCACCCAGGTTGGTTGCCCAATTATGATTATTATTATTACTAAATATTATCATTATTATTGTTGGTAAACATTTAACTTTAATAGATTTTTAGCTACTCAAGATCATACAAGAGACTCCTATGCGATGTGCCTCGCATTAATGACAACAGATATTAATGGAATGTCCATTAATTTTATACATAGTTTAATACCTGCTTATTTTATTGATATGCATGTTGCATAAGCCGCAATGTTTTTTTTTTTTTATTTATGCATAATCGGTATCCAAATAATGCAGCTGACCAACCCGCGCACCCTGCACCTCCCCCCACCCGGCGGATGTGTGATTTTCCACGCGCTGCTTCGGACTGTGACCCAGTTTTGTGGGACAGATGAAAAGCGTGAAACGGTCTAAAAATAATATTCTAGTGGGGAAATAAAAGAAAAAACAAGAGACGCACGTAAATCTATGTTTAAAGCCAAAATAAAAAGTGAAATGAAAAATCACACAGCAAATTATGCTGCATGTTGTTACACATTTTACTTAGTTTTTCACTTGGCCAAATTTGCTTTGTCGGCATTTTTTTTTTGTTTTTGATTTCAGATTTGCTTTCATTCGGATGGTTTTATTTATAAAACACGGCCATGCGAATATATGAAAAATATTTTCATTTTGAATGTTATTTGGTTTCTTTCATTTTTCACATTCTTTGCTCGCTTCTCTATTTGTTTATTTGCAGTTAATGCGAATTATGCACTCGCAAGTGCAACCATCACAACGGCAGCAGCAACAAGAGCACCAAATGCATTGTGCACCCAGTTCTTAAGTATACGAAACACCACCACAACAACAACAACAACCACAAGAAGCACCACAGTCATAAGCCACATTCAGTCGCAATTGCTGGCAAAATGGTGGACGACATTTCGCCCATGCATCATCGCATGCAGAAGAAGACGCGCAGCGCCTCGATCTGTGCCACGGGGGGCAGCATCGAGACGGTTATCCAGAATATGCCCTCGGGCAGTGCCACGCCCGAGGGCGGCACGCCCGGCTACAGACGCCGCCGGCCCGCCACCCGCTCCCAAAGCGCACGCATCACCTCGGGCGCCAGATCGGTGAGTAAACTATTTATTTCAATTTGTCGGCCGGGCGCCCATTAATTAACTAGCTATTTAGTTTGCTTAGCTAATTGATTGCTTGTTTCATTCACTTGTAGTTGAGCACATTTAGTAGAGCTTTGCGATGTGCCCGTGAATTAGCGATCGGCGTGTCACGACTTTTTATAGCATGCACCAGAAAACTTAACAAGGTAGAGTGCTCTAGTCGGGAGTTTTCGACCATGCGATGCCCTGAACCCAACCTTGAGAGCTGGCTTCACAAGTATTTTAATCTCTTTGCGGAGTAACTGATTAATTTCGGTGATTATTGTCCGATCTATATTAAATCAAATGCGTGTAATTACCAAGTCCCAAAACGGTGTCTCCAAAAATGTTATATCTCAGGTTTAGGAGAAGTACCTCCCATTCAGAAAATGGAATATTCTGAATCTTTGTATACTATACGTCTATATCTCTTATAAGCTGGAAGGCAAGCCAAAAAACAGGTTATCGATAACTATTTACAAAGACTTACTTGCAACGGACTAGGTTATGAATAGTAAAATAAACGCGACCTTTTCGTGTACTTAGGAGGATACATCTTTCGAAAGTGATTAATTGATTGATCCCAGCTTGACGCGTGTTCGGGCAGATGTATATACAGACAGACGTATGACTCTAGCTCTTTAAGACTAAGAGATTTGTGCAAAACAACGTGATAACGATTTTTATCGATTGCTCGCAAACAGGGCAAGTTATCAATGTTCGGGAGCCAACTTTAGATGCGCAGGCACTACGAGTCCTATGTTTCAAGTCTCTAACTACCATTAGCTCTAAGATCGACGCATTTTTAGAAAAGGACAGACGAAGGGGCGGACGGAAGGACGGATTTTTTTTTCTGAATCCTGACACGATGCTTATGTGAAAATTATGATATAATACGCGCGCAATCTAAACATATAGCTGCTTGGCACGCGATCATCTCTAGCTTGTGCCGTCTGCCATTCGCTGTTGCTTTCCAAATTGCTTTATAAACAACTGCACAGCACGGGTTTAAGTGAAATTTGATATACTCGCAGCTTAACAGCTGCTCCTGCCTCAAGGCGCACCCCACTCCACCACACTCGATGGCACTTGAGCTGCTGCTGCCAGTTCACTGGACCCATTCGTGCAGCTTGCTGCAAATCGGATTTGGCTGGTTGGGGGCTCAAATGGTGCAGTCGGCCACGCCCCCTCTGGCTCGATATTGCGTGCCGGAAAGTGGGAAAGTTCATTGTTGTATTTACATGCAAATTTGTTATTGCGCTGTATTTTACTTTGAGCATGCCATGGGGGTGCATATTTATTGGGGGTCGGTAATTTACAGTTTGTAATTTGTAGTTTGCAGATTTATTAAATTCCATTTTGGGCGGGTTCCGAGCACGATATCAACTTGTTGGATTTGCTGGTAACTGGCGAAAGGATAGGTATGTTAGGGAAGCGTGGGATGCGAGGGATTTAAGGTAGGTGGTGAGAATGTCTGTGGATGGAATGTGGTCGGCATCAGGGAGGGGCTCAGAGCGTATATCATTTGCTGGACGAGATTACGCTCGTGCCCCAAATTCCGGACCGAGTGGCCTTCGCGCAACTGTGCGAGCCGAGTGGTCAGCTGGTTCATGCGCAGCTCATGTTCCAGATCGACGCTATTGAGCAAGGACTGTTGGATAACGTTAATGGATTCTTCAGTTTTTCTCGTCATCTTAGACAGACGCTGTCGGCAGCGACTCAGCAGGGCGTGACGTTGAGCATCTTGGATTTCCATCGACTTTTGCTGGGGCTTGACGTGCTCGGGACAGGGCTGCGTCGGACGCAGGCAGTGACAGTAGCTGAGATTATACACCAGATACTCCTCGAACTCCTCGCACGGTACCAGCATCTTCTGGTAGTTCTCCAGCGACTGCAAATCGCTCGGATCCAAATGGCGCGCACCACAATCCAGCTTCAGATAATGACTATAGAAATAGTTGAACAGCTCGTCCGCCAGTTCCGCGAAGAACTTGATGGGCTTGTGGAATGCATCGCCCAGTATAAAGGGCGTCTGCTCGGTTAGATCCAGTTTGTTGAACTCGCGGCGAAAGGCCAACAGATTAGCACGTATGCCGCTAATGCCACGATTCATGGCCAGATTGGAGCCCAATATGATCTGATAGTGCAATTGGTACTTGTTAATGATCACATCGTCAGCATCCACGCAGCGCGGCAGTGGCCTCCGGCAGGCGACATCCGATTTTATGGAAAAGTCGCGCGTCAATGGCCACAGCTTCTCGGCGGCCATGCGCTGCAGTCCCAGCTCTTTGAGCCACTCATTGAAGTAGCCCCTGTACGCCTCGTCCAGTATAAGCAGCTCGGTCAGCACCTTCACCTCAACGCCATCGTGCTCTCGCTGGATCACGCTGAGCACCGGGCCCAGTGGAACCTTTGGCCAAATCGTGTAGTCACTGCATTGCATTAAACCCGTTGGTAGCCGGGGGTCCCCAATGTTATGGTCAGAGTTTTTTAGGAATTTCATAATGTTTAATAAAATGTATGTATCCAGTTTCGCTCTCTCCCCCTCTCACTCTTTCTCAATTGATATTATGAAACTCGTGTACTGGAGCACAACTGATATATACTCATATGTTTACTTGACTGGCAAATAATCGAAAACTAGCTTGACAACAGCAACAGAAAATAGCCTTACCAGTAGGCCGCTTTTTTTTCATTCAATATTTCCTTAATCTTACTAATACGTCTGTATTGATGATAAAATATAGTTGTCTCAATCAGCCGAACATGTGCATATAACTCTATATGTTTTTATTTTTTTTTTTTTGTAGCTAGAAATCAAAGTAGAATCACATGTAGGGCTTTCAATATAGATGCAAAGAGTCAAAATGTATTTTTGGAAAACCTGGCTAACGAACTGAGCCTAGCGCCAGGCTCAGAGCCTAAGGATATATATGCTTACATTTAATATTTTATGCCTTCCAAGGATACATGCATAAGTATAGTTTCTAATGGAAATGTGCTTTCACAAAACCTTCCTGCCGGTCAGATGTGCTTTGATATCATATCACAAATGTTTATCGATTTGGCGCCAAATGTTGTTGGCATTGATTGTGAAATCGGAACAGCGCCCAAGGGAGACGTTGCCAGCAGGCAGCAGGACAAGAGGACAACAGCTTGACAGGCAGCCAACAGGCAGGCAGGCAGGCAGGCAGTCAGGCAGTCGGGCGGGCATTCAGTTTCACGTCATAACAAACCCGATACCAGAGCTAACCGAATCGAAGGGCAGCGCTGACAATCTGCCAAAGCGTGCCACGTGCCATTTAAGATCTTTGCATATGTCCCCAAATTAAACACTTTTGTGCCATTTAAGCTGGCAGCGTCCCACCTCTTCATTATCAGCAACATCTGCATTTTGATTGACTGTGTGTGTGTGTGTGTGTGTGTGCGAATTGAATTATGTGCCGGGGGCCAAATTCAATTTTTGCTGCGATGCTGCACAAAAGCAACATCGCATGTCACATGCGTCAGAGGACGCGGCATACACTGCGTATGCGTAATGTCGGCCGGATGAGTGCGAAAACTAGAGTCGCGAGTCGTTGTCATTGCTGCGTGTCCTGCGGGTGGTTTTCGCAACAGCTACGCAGCAATGTGCAGCGCGCTTAAAGCTGAAGAATGTCAAATGTTGAATTTGCGAGGCATGTGGCAAAAAGTTGCTCAAACTCTGCAACAAGTTTTCTACTACACACACATGCCACATATGGGCGACACTGTTGCCGGGCGTGGCTCTTCTCCCGAAACGAAATGAGTTTTGTATTTTATATTTTGTTTGGTTTTTTGCTCTTGTTGCTCGTATAAAACTTTGAGCTCACGATTTCATAATAAGTTCACAATAAACGACGCAGACAGCAAAGTTTAATGAGAATGTGGAAAAAGCAGGAGACGGATAAAAGGCGAAGGCCCTGCCAATGCCAGACACAAAGACGGACTAATGACAAGTTAAAACACGATGCTCTCCGAGATTGTCATATCAGGATAAACAGAACTAAGCTCACACCATGCCAACTGCAACAACAACAACAAGGACACCAACAAAAACCCATTTCAACTAAAACAGAAACAACAACAAAAAAGTCATTTGCATGTAATGCATACAGCTATTCCCTAATGGAAGGACTCTGAGCGGGTTACAGGGATAAAACTCAATTTGAGTGCAGACAATTTTTCATTAAATTTGTATTTTAATGATAAATGTATCATATAATGCATTATTAATTAAAATGCGCTTCTCAATATTATTGAAATACGATACTATCGATTGTCCATAAGCACGCGAAAGAAATATCGATAACCAATTAGTCTGCGTAGCTGGATTAACTAGTTTAACTATTAGTAGTCTCTAATTATAGTTACCTCCACTGTGTGGGAGGCCTTAACCAAGACATTCTGTACTTGGCTAAAAGTCCCCACAGAATCTTGCAAAGTCATCTAAAAGCGCAACATCAGCATTAAGACAGGATGTTGTTTTTGCAACAGGCTCGAAATGGGACATGTTCGACGATTAGCAGACAGCAGCCTGGCAACTCGATATATATTAACAAAAATATATATATACATTGTTCAATAAAGACAAAAATGGAGTTTTTAATAAGAGCTAGGTGAAAGCAGTTGTCTTTTATTTCTGATTACTTAGTGAAACAAGGAACTACCATCCAAGGATTCCAACTGGTAACTCTTGCGAATAGGCAAGTGAAACGTTAAGGCTGGAACACTTTTACAGAAACGCGTGGAAACCACGAAACAACATTTAAGCTACAGTTACGTATGCTTGTATAAGTAGGTATTGAGCGAGCTCTGACAAAGGGTAAATTTATATCTACCCATCCAACATTTCATGTTGATCTTTGATAATGAGCTTTGTGGCCCATCTATTTTCCAAAATTCGAAGTATTGATAAAAGCCCGAAGCTTTGACAAAGAAACACAAATGCCACATAAAGCCGTTTTTTAAAATAAATTAAAAATAAAATAAAATTTCTCAAAAATTGTTCAGCTGTGGCGTAGAATTTTTGGAAAAAGGTTAAGAATGAATTTATAATTTTTTTTTGTAAATAGCTTTGGACAAGAATTTAAAGTTGAATGGATAAAAAGCTTAAAATTTGTATTTCCTAGTATTTTCCGACTGTTGATTCTACAAAATTAGTGAAACATATATTCATTAATATTAAATAATGAAAGCAAGCGAGAGAGACAGAGAGAGAGAGAGAGAGAGAGAGAGAGAGAGAGAGAGAGAGAGAGAGAGAGAGAGAGAGAGAGGAGGGCCATCGCACTGGAAGTAAACCTTTCGTTAAACATTTTCCAGCCAGGCGATGGTGGATTTTCCCGAAAAATGTGATACACAATACGCACTTGTAAAATAACCTTTAATTTCTTAAGTATGGTCTATTTAGTCGTTTTATAAAGGAATATTATTGTAGCCCTGCAGCATACGCAATCATATTTATATAGACTCTATGCACGACATATTGTAAGCTCGTGTTGTTTATATGCTGGACAAATGAAATAAATTAACAGCTGCGCAATGCCCCAAGGACTAATTGGGAATTAAGCAGATACAAATTGAAGACAAGGAGCAAGGACCTGGGCAGCCAGTACAACGACAGTTGGCCCGGATCAAAGGCACAAAAGCCGGATGTAATTAATTTTACCCCAGCAAGTGAAGACATGCTGCATCCGGCAGTGACACCAAAGAAGGAACTATATACACTACACATATAGATATAAATATATATGTATATATATATACGGTTGACCCCCTGCAACAATATTTGATTAAATCCGAAAATGAAGTAACACGCAAATATGGCACAAGAGCTGCAATTACGGGTCACGCGAGCTGCCGAGCTGCCGAGCGGCCCATGAATTGTGGGCGCCATAAAAAGGCGCTGGGCATTGGCCACTAAATAAACACCACAGAACTTGGCTAATGGCCGCCACCCGTCAGCCCCCACGCCACAACAAAGCTCTCAGTGTGGCCCAAATCCGCAGACACTTGACGACTGATGCCAGCACGTAAGCAACGCATCCGGCTAGCCCAGCGTGTGAAAGCCACAAAGTGAGCCGGGATAAGGGTGCGGGCTATTAGCGTGTGCTGGAGGAGCTGGAGGAGGTTGAGGGTGGTGGTGGTGCACTGCACAGCCGGAAGCTGCTAACAAAGTTCTGAGCCAACATTCACATGTGTCGGCGAAAGTTTTGTGCGGAAAACTAGCTGCAACCCGCAACTACTTTAGCACTGCCAAATGAGGCTGCCTGTGGGACAGGTGGTGCACGGACAGGTGTTTAAATGAGTTTTCGTTGTGTTGTCAACACGCTGCCGGCGCAGGCAGCAGGATTTAGTTAGCCGCAGGACGTGCATTAGAAACAAACGCAACGTTGATTGCCATTTCGAGAGCCACAAACCCACCGAATGGGTGGTGCGCCCTTGACATTTTGCCGTTCTTCTAGCCAGCTCAGCGTTTTTTTTTTGCACCCATTTCTTGTTTGTCTGTGTTAATCAGTCCGAAATGTCGACTTGATGCTGTGCCAAGTCTTGAAGCAGTCCATAAATTCTAAAGTGATGCAAAGTGCGCCAGCGGGGGCCTGTGGCTGGGGCGACAAACAAATGCAATTTGATTTGTGTTCGACATTTTGCAATTTAATTCCTCTTCTGCTGCGTGCTGCAGTGCATAAATCAAAGGCTGATCGCCTCTGAAATAGCCTTAGGTATAGCAATGGCCAGGTCTTTTGCTTTGTCCCTCAGCTGCAGCTGATTGATGTTACAATGGCTGATGGGCTAAAACGGAAGATTACGCCACGATGACCTTATGCTCAGCTAGCCTTGCAAAAAAGATATTATTTGTCACGAATAGTGTAAGGCATAGAAGAAGGTATTTATAAACATTTTCTTGAAGTAGATCGGGCAACTTTATCAGATGAATGAAAATGTCCCTTTGCTTTCCAAGAGATTATATAGCTTTTTGGGAAAATAGTGTCAACAAAAGACTTCTTTATATTTAAAAAATTTGATGGGGCTTAAAAGTGAAGCTCATAATTGCAAAGTTTGTTCAAGATATCCAATACTAACTTTTCGACTTCGATATAGCTATTGAGCTAGTTACATTGGATCGACTGAGGGTAGCTGTTCTTTCTGGTTTTTCTTGCTGTTAATCCCCCGACCGATTTGCTCTGCCTCTTTACAGGTACGCCGACGCACCCAGGCGCAGCAGCAGCAGCAGCAAACGACGCTGCAGGAGACGCGACCCTATTGCACCAGCGAGCCGCGTCTCAGCGAAACGGAGACGCCCCCGCAGCGCCGGAAGCTCTCCCAGCGCCGGCCGCAGCCACACGGTGAGTAGAGTCCTTGTAATGGCCGTCGGGGCAATCAAAAAGTGTGCTGCCACACAAATTAGTCAAGTGGCCGCATTTAATGCGGCCTTAATGCAGCTCAAGATACTAGCCAAATTGAGCAGGCGGCCCATAAATCGTTTTACGGCAGCAACAGCAGGAGCTGGCGACAGACAATGTTCCTAGTTATGAGCGACTATTTATAGCGCTGCGGGAGAAGGGCGCACTGAATCATGAACAATATTCGAAGCACTTTAAGCGACAAAACAGTTCCATTAGCGCCTTATAAACTTGATGTGCATATGCTTATAATAGATTTTTCGTATAAAGTTGATTTAATTAACGCCCTGTCGCCGCACTCAGACTGGACGATCGTTAAGCTTAACCATTGACCCACTTTTGGCGCACACCAATCTGAATAAAGCACCGAATGTACTTATGGTAACGCCCCCTTTGCCACTACCCCTCCACTTGACGCCTTTGTATATAAATCTGTGTCAGGCAGCAAACAACAACAAGAAACCGCTTTCAATGGGTAAAAAGAAAAACTTGACATTTCCGGGCAATGAAAAACAAGAGCAAAGCCTTTCGGGCGGCCGCAGCATAAATACTCTTGTTTATAAATTAGTCAATAGATTATTATTTAGGAAATTGATCTTGGGTGGAAACTTATAAGCAAGCTGTCTGGAAAGAGAAACTTACTAAAATTACGCGTAATAATATGCATAAGTCCGACAATAGATCTAGTATTATGCATTATTGTATGAGATAACAATAGACCAATTGTTTGACTAATATTATAACAGCACACATTAATCAGGGAGTAGTCAATTATTTTATTTAGCGATAGACTTAATAGGTCCTTTTTCTTTCCTTTAAGCCACTATAGAGCTTATACTTGTGGCCTTAAATAAAATATTAAATAAACCTGTGAGATTTTCGTCCAATTTTATAGTTGAAAGCTTGGCAAAAAATGTAAATTATGCTCATAATTAAGGGCTGGATTTATTTAAAGTTTCTATGCCATCATATAACATGATACTGTAGTCAGATTATAAGGACAATCTCCCGACTTGATAAAAAAATTCACTTTAAAATGATGCCAAATAATCGTTAGTGTGTTTCCAATACCTTCTCATCTCATGTAGATACAATGCTATAGATATATGATACACTTTTTACGCTTTTATAATAAATTCCTTATAATCTGCAACAACCTACACATTTCTGCACTCTGGCAATCTCAAGTTGAGAAATGTGCATCGCTTGCTTGTAAAACAAGTTGCAATCGTTGATTGTAATGCAATTTATAAAGATAGAAATTAATTTAATATCATGAATTTGCAGGGCATAGAAAATCGAACGCCTTCCTGGACGTGCCCACAATGAACATGCACCACCTGAGAGTGAACGATGACGACGAGGATGTGGATCGCCTGCGCACATTTAGTGCATCCAAAGGAGGTAAGTGCCAAAGGCAGCAGCAGATTGATAGAGAAAGCAGACACGAGCACCGAATGGGGCAGCTACACAAAAGGCTTCTTAGCCGCATTTATTAATTCCGAAATGGAAAATCAACAAAAGCGACGCCAGGACTGGATGCCAGAGCTTAGATTTTACAATGGCAACACACATGCCAGCAGCAGTTCGGACTCTGGGCAAACCAGGCCATTTGGAATATGTACAATTATTGTGTGTGAAGAACTTGGTGAAATCTCAAAAAGGTTGCCTTAAAAGGCAATCAGTGTCATTTAATGCCACTTAAGATAGGCACAACGCACTCTTTAGTTTTCAACAGATAGCATTTCTATATTTGTGTCACGTTATTGATACACATACGCAACGTGGGCCAATCCGACAGAAAGCGAGACGGAAACCGAAACCGAAACCTTAACGCGAACTTAGCATGCTTTAGCTACGCGCTATGTGCGTACGTGTGTGTGTGTGTCTTAGCCTGCATAAATGCATGTCTCCTTTAAGTACGTGTTTAAGCTCAACTGCCACACACAAGCCCACACACACACACACACACAAACACTCTTTGCTAGAATTGACACCGAGCAGCCATTTGCTATGCCCTAAGAGCGGGTATTCCGACTTAGCTAAGCATCAGACAACTTAAGAGTTGTGCCTCTTGGAATGTATTAAATGAAAGTAATATTTAAGGCATATATAGTTATTTTTCTGAGACAATTACTTTTATATTTCTGCTGCAGAACTTATAAGAGACATAATAAAGATACATGTTATTTTCAAGCGAGCGCTTGCGAAATACTCCAAGAAATGTCCATATATCTCTCAATCTAACCAAGATCAAATCGATCAAGGCTGCAAATGACTTCTCTTCTGAAGTGCTCTTAAACTCTATTACCCGGGAATCAATTTTCAGTTGGATCTATGAGATCTCTATCAAACGCCTTTTAGACTTCATCCGAGGTAGAGCAAAAGTGTATTCTGTGCAAAGGCTAGAGAACATGCACATTAAAGTGCAAGATTTTATAGGGTATTCAAGTGGCGCTGTTAGACTTCAAGTGAAACTTTGTAACTGGCAGCGACTGTCGCCCTGCGTAGAGGTACGTATGTATATATAGGAATACATATATATATATAGTAAAGTTGAGTACGTTAAATTGTCAGTCTTTTGACACTGGTTGGGTAAATGAAGCGCAGACTGGGGACATGTTTCAAATGGCATACGAAACACGCTGCATATTAAAATTCAATGAAGTTGCCAGCGTTTACTCAACTAAATTGCTTTCAAATACAAGAAAATGTCTACATATGCAAGTAGTCATCCCACCGAGAGTCTGTGCATGTGTGTGTGAGTGTGGGTGAATTCCTTGTGGTTGTGCCGGGTGCGTCATGTGCACAAATTTAATTAAACTTAATACGCAGTCGACTCAGGCACTAATCGCCAAACCGTAAAGCAAGCAAAACCCCATCAATTATGTTTACAGTTTGAATTTAAACAACAACCACTGGGAAAATAAAGAACATTTACAGAAAATTTCATTGAAGTGCGTAGGGGGCGTGGTGTTTGGGGCGTGCTGGGGCTTGGAGGCTGGTGAGCTGGTGGGATGATTAATTGAAGCGCTAGCGTGTGTCAGTCGTCATCGTCAGCCAATGAAGCGCCACCCAGTGAAAAATTCAATGAAAAGCTGTCCAAAAGCGGCCACAATGCGTTGCATGTTATGCGTGCATGTGTGTGTGTGTGTACGAGTGTGTGTGTGTGTGTGTAGCTCTTCTGCTGTGCTTAAGATTGAAATGGTGTCCGAGCTGGGAGCCTGGCTGCAGGACTGCGCCTGGTTATGATGACGCTCGCTGTGTAAATTCAATTATAATTGAATCATGTCCACGCACGCCCCGTTGAAGGATGTCTCTGGACATTGGGCGTTCGGTGACGTGGGCATGGTCGTGTGGGCGTACGTATGACCGAATCGGCACATACGACTTAGACGAGGCGCGGTTCATGTAGCTGGCATAGCTTAATTGGCTTCATCTCAGCTAAATAAATTATATACAAACGAATAAAAAGTGAAACGTTCGTTCATGCTCGACTCAGAGATATCCATTGAAATAATATTGTATATACATATATGCATATGTGAGCGGTAATAACAGAAGGGCTATCTATCTATCGTACTGAAGAATATAACTTATTCGTCTTTATACAAATTTCTGCCAATCGCAATTCTAAGCATTAAGACCGACTCGTCTGTTGATGAGGTACAAGATTCTATATGTACATATGGACACAGCAGACTGCAGCCCTGCCGAACCAGCTTCCTGCCCAGGGAGATTTTGCTCGTGAAGCTGGTTTGCCACATCCTTGAATTTTAATCCATTTTTAAATATTGCTACCACGCGTATTTATATACACAAGATTCGGTCCAAATTTGATCTCTAGCCACCTTGAAAGCGTGCGATACCCAGCTGAAAATAATTTAGCAAAAGGCAAACATGTGCGAAATCTCGTGCAACACTCGCCGAACTTTAAATCAATCGGCAAATAAAAATTGATATTTATTTTCTTAAGCAGTTATTCATTACCAAAAAATGTTCAAACAATGCGTGAAGGCAACTTCCAAAGGCGAAAATAGCTAAAATAATAATTTAAAGACACATCAAAAAGCAGAGAGCAAAATGAGTTAAACAAAAGCTGCGTCGATTGAGATAAATTCCACGAAGCATAAAAAGAAGGAAAAAACTCAAAAATGAATGAAAATTAATTTGAAAAGTGAAAACTCTTCAAAGTTTTTCCACTGTTTAGATTCTGCTGGCTTATTAGTTATGCAGACGAGTTCAATTATTTTTTATTACATTTCAGAGTTCATCTAGCGAAATGTTAAAGGCATAAACTTGGGCAATTTCTATAGCTAAACACTTGATCATTTGCTCAGCTAAATTTAAACATTCGGCATTTGTACAAATATTTATTGTAACAAAACGAAACAAAACACAAAGAAAAACGATTGTTTAAAAGCTAAATTTTATGGTCAGCAGTTTTCACCTTTTCTTTTCCTTTTCCTTTTTTTTTTTTTTTTTGGTTCGCATTCACAATATTAACAACGAAAATTCAAATGAAATTTTGCAAAATCGCAATTGTAATTTTTGCTATACTATAAATTGCCACCCAGCCGGGCGATTTTATGGCTTTCCAATGATGATGGCCGCACACCTACGCCCCTTTCCACCCCCCCCCCCCTGGCACCCGCTCGGGCACATGCAAATACACAGATTTATGCATTTGTAGATTTTTATTGCCATTTTGGCAATTAATTCAATTTACACAATTAATGACCGCAGCGTTTGCTTGAGAAAAATCTCTCGGCTAAATTCAGAAATAACCGAATGCAATAAAGCAGGCCATAAATCTATTTATGACATTTAAATGTACACAAAACAATCGCATAAACAGGCACAAGTCGAATGCAAACAATTTTGTTGCGGATTTTTACTTATTTTTCTTAAACCGTTGGCTCAATTTGACGACATTGAATGAATACATTCATAAAGACTTTTCAATTCTCAACTGCTTACATTTCATATGCTTTCTGTCAATTAATATATTCAAATCAAAATAGGTATAGAAATGCAATCCGAAATTAGTTTTGACCACATATATTTGAATTAAAACAAAACTGCCAACAATTAAGCTGTCTATAAAATGCTCAACTAACTATTTTGTGTTGTTTGCCAAACAAAATTATTTGTAAATGCATGTGTATTCACAGCAGCTGGTAAACAAAGGCATAGTCTTCACAACTTGCAGCTAATCCTTGTGTTAAATACACTGTAAAGTATGTTTTATATATACATATATGTAAGTGTAGCAAAACTATGGAAAGTTTACTTCATCGTCAAATGGCGCCATCGAATGTTTCGGTAACTGGTACATTACACAATCGATAACATCCTTGGTGCTCTTAATATTGGTAAAGATCGTTGTAAATACTAAAGTGCTGCGATGTATGAATATATATAGAGATAGGTGATATATATACATACGTATATATATCGAAATATGGATAGGCAAGTTGTATCAATGTTGGAAAGAAAACAACAACGGTACAAAGAGCTTTGATGCTTAGGTCAAAGTCATTGTTGTGAAATAAAGATATTGAAAAAATTAGAAAACACTGCGTACTTTATAAAATGCACATTTTCCTTAATTTATTGAACTTTTGTCAACACCAATCAGATTGATAGTTATAAATAATTGCAAAAACAACACGATAAAAAGTTATCGATAGCACATTGGCAAACAAAAATCAATCATTTAATGAGTTATGTTATGGAAGCTCTTAGTAGCGAAAAATTCTAGTAAAAACCAACGATGGTGACAAGCTGCCAGGGAAATTTCGATGTCAGAGACAACTTTAAACATTTGTTTAGGATAGCTTTATATATTTACAAATGTATTTCTTTTGAAGTACTTTAGCCTACTCGAGCAGACGCAAATAAAATATTTACATAGGTCCGACATATAGGCAAACAATCTGCATCGGCGGCCACAAAATATAAACAGAAAATTGGCATTTCAAATGCCTGCCTCAATGTGACTGGCTAAAATTTATAGATAAGCGCAAATGCATATTGCAGCTAATGAATTTTTAAATTTAAAGCCTCTATTCAATCTTGCTGTCCGCCTGCTGCACAGCTGCACGAAAACCATTTCAAATAAACTACGAAGAGTGAAACAAAATAAATAAATTGAAGGGCTGCAGCAGCATTTGAAAAGGCGCAACAACTGGCAACATGTTCGCCATATTACAGCCGCAGACAACACGAAGTGCGGCTGGATGAGAGCAGAGCACGGCTGTAGCTCACACAACAGATAGATTAAGCATTGTTGTTGTTGTTTTAGTTTGTTTGTGTAGTCATAGTCTGCTGCCTCCGGCAGGCAAACGTAATTTTAGCCAGGCTCAACGCGGCGTATGAGTAACACATGCCGTCTCGTTGCGCATACGCCGCATAGGCCCGAGCCATGCGTTACATTTAGACAATTTTTGTGTGGTTCTTTTTTTTCTACTCGGCAACATTTGCGAAATGCAACTCATGGCTTGCACCACATTCATGCAGGCATCATCAATCGCGGCGACTCCTTCCGCAGGCGCCGCTCGCGCAGCAACAGCCTCGCGCCGGTTAGTCCCATGCATCCACGTAATGCGATGGCCGGTCTTAACGGTGCCGGCGGCGGCGGCAGCAGTCTGGGGCTGGGCAACAATTACAATGGCGGCAGCAGCAATGGCTTCGCCGCCAGCTCCGGCCAGGATAATCATCAGCCGGTGGAATTCTATCGCGTCGAGATGCTCGGCTCGCCTGGTGTTGGCAAACAGGCGCTCGTTTCCCAATTTCGCACCTCCGACTGCATCAATGCCTACGATGGACCAGGTAAGTGCAGCAGCTGTCGTATTACAAAAAAAAAAGACTAATACCCTGCCCCTTGATCTGGGTTTTTGCAGAGTGCGATGAGGACGAGCAAAACATTTCAATTATTCTGAATGGCACCGAGTCGGAGCTGAAGTTCCTCACTGGCAATCCGGAAAGCAAGGTAAGTCAAGCGCAAAAGCCCAAACGATCCATTTGTCAAAGTGTACAACACACTCACACTCACACACAAAAACAAATACACACGCACACATATATTTTAACATTAGCTTGCAGCTGTTGTCCTTTCGGGCACTTTTCGCATTTGTGTCCCTGGTGACCAGCATTGTTGTTGTGTGTGTGCGTGCCATAATTGCTGTTAAATATATCAATATTAACCTAGGGACTGCCCACAACTACATTTACAATTCCTACCCTCGCCACTGGAAGACAAATTTTGGCATTTGAACAGGGCCAACCGCTTGAACTTGACTGAAAGCCATTTGTTATTTTGTCTCAACACAAATTCAATTAATTACAAATGCAAACTAAGCAAATGCGACTTGAATTGTGTGTAAAGTGGGCGTGGCACAACAACTGCCGCCACTCAAAGTTTAAGCAGCCACTAATTAGGCCACAAAAGCGAAATCTCTGAATAACTGGAAATATTAATAATAACCGAAGAACCGAAAATGGCCAAGAACTTTACCAAACTGCAACTTGCATAAAGAGAGCGAGACAGAGAGAGAGAGAGGGAGAAGGGCAGAAAAGAAGAAGGTTTTTGAATGCTGTGTCATGCAGCATGCTGCTACGTTGCCTGCATACTCAAGTGCCAGTCGGCAGAAGGAATGTTTTGTACCTTAAAAAAAAAGAGCAAAAGGTGGGTGAGTTCTTTATGCTGAGCCTCGGCATGCCGTGTAGCTCCTCGAGAAAAAGGCTAAGCTGGTCAGGTACTTGAAAAATTAAGACTGAAACAATAGAAAAGTATAGGTTGAACACTAAGACTATGATGTACTCTAACCAATATTTACCAGGCAATTAAATGGGATAAACATAGCAATATGACGGCTAGAAGTAAATCTAAATTAGACATAGTCTAAGAAGTAGCCACATTTGCAGCACAGATAGTCTATTGTACAGCGTAACCCATTCAATAGAAGAAGAGTGCTATAAGGAATCACTTTAAGAAGAAGAAAGGAGAAGGCATCACCGACAACTAAGCATCCCAAAAAATAAATCAAGTGATCTTGCTATAACAAAAAGATAAATACAAGAAAATTGTTAGAAATATTCATGAGCTTCTGCCTGACTTAATACTGAATGTGTAACAATGGAGAAGACCATTTTACCTAAAAACCAGAATGCAAGGTACACCGAAGATCTAATACCCTTGTATGCATTTGCCATACAGTTTTGCAGATATGTCAAAATAGTGAAGCTCGACAAATATCGTCATTCAAAAACTCATGTTTCAACCGATTCTTCCTATAGAGGTATATAACATAGGATTTCGGCATTGTTATGATTTGGCTATTGTGTAAGCAGTATATTAACCAATAAATGGCGGGTTTTCTCAAGATAAACTTGATAAACAATTAAGTTTTTCATACAAGAACTTACCTTACGACTGATCGTTCCTATGGCAGCTATATGATATAGTGCTCCAATCTGGACGGTTCCCCATATATGTTCTGCCTGCAACAGAAAGACGGATAGTTTTAAGACTGTGAGACACGTTTGCATTGAAAAAGACAAACGGATTTGGAATGATCTAGAATATATATACTTTACGGAGTATGTCTCCTTCTATGCCTTACACATAGGGCATACAAAATAAAAGAATATATATATTTCTAAGATTATTCCATTCAAAATGATCTTTTTTAAAATAAAATAAACAAGGTTCTAGTCGGGAGCTCTCCACTAAGGGATACCCTGAACCCTCTTCTTCCAACATCAAATGCATATATATACTCTATTTTAGAAGCTATATGTCAAGTTTGGTGACTCTAGTTCTTATTATTTACCAAAATTGCCCAAAAAACAGGATATCGATTTTTATCGATTGCTTGGAAACGGAGTAAGTTATTGATTATCGGAAACAAACTCGATCTGCGCAGTAACTAGGAGCATCTACATCTAAAATTTCAAGTTTCTAGCTCTTATAGGTTCTGAGATCCTTGCGTTCATACATACGGACGGACGGACGGACGGGCAGACAGACGGACATGGCTAGATCGACTCAACTATTTATGCTGATCAAGAATATATATACTTTATGGGGTCGGAGATTCTTCCTTCTGCCTGTTACATACATTTGGCTTTCGCACAAATACAGGGTATAAAAAGCCAAACTTCGTGAAAATCGGATGAGATTTGACCGAGTTATGGGGGTGGTAATTTTTGACCCATGTCTAGATACGAGTCTTGGGGTAAGATTTGGACATGAATTTCGACTAAAAAATCGCTGTTCATATTTGAATGCCAGATTAATCTAGAGGGAAAACCATTAAGAAAACGCCAAACTTCGTGAATATCGGATGAGATTTAGCCGAGATATGGGGGTGGTCATTTTTGACCCATGTCTATATACGAATCTTGGGGTAAGATTTGTACTTGAATTTCGACTAAAAAATCGGTGTCGAGATTTGAATGCCAGATTAATCTAGAGGGAAAACCATGAAGAAAAATCCAAACTTCGTGAAAATCGGATGAGATTTGGCCGAGATATGGGGGTGGTAATTTTTGACCCATGTCTATATACGAATCTTGGGGTAAGATTTGGACATGAATTTCGACTAAAAAATCGCTGTTCATATTTGAATGCCAGATTAATCTAGAGGGAAAACCATGTAGAAAAATCCAAACTTCGTGAAAATCGGATGAGATTTGACCGAGTTATGGGGGTGGTCATTTTTGACCCATGTCTATATACGAATCTTGGGGTAAGATTTGGACATGAATTTCGACTAAAAAATCGATGTTCATATTTGAATGCCAGATTAATCTAGAGGGAAAACCATGTAGAAAAATCCAAACTTCGTGGAAATCTGATGAGATTTGACCGAGTTATGGGGGTGGTCATATTTGACCCATGTCTATATACGAATCTTGGGGTAAGATTTGGACTTGAATTTCGACTAAAAAATCGGTGTCGAGATTTGAATGCAAGATTAATCTAGAGGGAAAACCATGAAGAAAAATCCAAACTTCGTGGAAATCTGATGAGATTTGACCGAGTTATGGGGGTGGTCATATTTGACCCATGTCTATATACGAATCTTGGGGTGAGATTTGGACATGAATTTCGACCAAAAAATCGGTGTCGAGATTTGAATGCAAGATTAATCTAGAGGGAAAACCATGAAGAAAAATCAAAACTTCGTGGAAATCTGATAAGATTTGACCGAGTTATGGAGGTGGTCATATTTGACCCATGTCTATATACGAATCTTGGGGTAAGATTTAGACATGAATTTCGACTAAAAAATCGATGTTCATATTTGAATGCCAGATTAATCTAGAGGGAAAACCATATAAAAAAATCCAAACTTCGTGGAAATCTGATGAGATTTGACCGAGTTATGGGGGTGGTCATATTTGACCCATGTCTATATACGAATCTCGGGGTAAGATTTGGACTTGAATTTCGACTAAAAAATCGGTGTCGAGATTTGAATGCAAGATTAATCTAGAGGGAAAACCATGAAGAAAAATCCAAACTTCGTGGAAATCTGATGAGATTTGACCGAGTTATGGGGGTGGTCATATTTGACCCATGTCTATATACGAATCTTGGGGTAAGATTTGGACTTGAATTTCGACCAAAAAATCGGTGTCGAGATTTGAATGCAAGATTAATCTAGAGGGAAAACCATGAAGAAAAATCAAAACTTCGTGGAAATCTGATAAGATTTGACCGAGTTATGGAGGTGGTCATATTTGACCCATGTCTATATACGAATCTTGGGGTAAGATTTAGACATGAATTTCGACTAAAAAATCGATGTTCATATTTGAATGCCAGATTAATCTAGAGGGAAAACCATGTAAAAAATCCAAACTTCGTGGAAATCTGATGAGATTTGACCGAGTTATGGGGGTGGTCATATTTGACCCATGTCTATATACGAATCTCGGGGTAAGATTTGGACTTGAATTTCGACTAAAAAATCGGTGTCGAGATTTGAATGCAAGATTAATCTAGAGGGAAAACCATGAAGAAAAATCCAAACTTCGTGGAAATCTGATGAGATTTGACCGAGTTATGGGGGTGGTCATATTTGACCCATGTCTATATACGAATCTTGGGGTAAGATTTGGACTTGAATTTCGACCAAAAAATAGGTGTCGAGATTTGAATGCCAGATTAATCTAGAGGGAAAACCATGAAGAAAACGCCAAACTTCGTGAAAATCGGATGAGATTTGGCCGAGATATGGGGGTGGTAAATGTTGACCCATGTCTATATACGAATCTTGGGGTAAGATTTGGACATGAATTTCGACTAAAAAATCGGTGTCGAGATTTGAATGCAAGATTAATCTAGAGGGAAAACCATGAAGAAAAATCCAAACTTCGTGAAAATCGGATGAGATTTGGCCGAGATATGGGGGTGGTAAATGTTGACCCATGTCTATATACGAATCTTGGGGTAAGATTTGGACATGAATTTCGACTAAAAAATCGGTGTCGAGATTTGAATGCAAGATTAATCTAGAGGGAAAACCATGAAGAAAAATCCAAACGTCGTGGAAATCTGATGAGATTTGGCCGAGATATGGGGGTGGTAAATTTTGACCCATGTCTATATACGAATCTTGGGGTAAGATTTGGACATGAATTTCGACTAAAAAATCGCTGTTCATATTTGAATGCCAGATTAATTTAGAGGGAAAACCATGTAGCAAAATCCAAACTTCGTGGAAATCTGATGAGATTTGACCGAGTTATGGGGGTGGTCATTTTTGACCCATGTCTACATACGAATCTTGGGGTAAGATTTGGACATGAATTTCGACTAAAAAATCGATGTTCATATTTGAATGCCAGATTAATCTAGAGGGAAAACCATGAAGAAAACGCCAAACTTCGTGAAAATCGGATGAGATTTGGCCGAGATATGGGGGTGGTAAATGTTGACCCATGTCTATATACGAATCTTGGGGTAAGATTTGGACATGA